TTGTGTTTTGGTTGACCATTCGGTTGAAGAGAGGTTAATTTGAAAATTGGGAGTCATATCGAAATGAAAATAGCAATTCAGGTGGAATAAAATTGTGAGATTGAGTAGATGCACCGACGCCAATGTTTACGATATTCAAACACAGTGTTTCTAACAATTAACTACATTAATCCAAAAGTCCCCAAACAGGAAGCCTAGCGAGACCTATATGACCTAGATACCGGGTAAGGGTTTTCGTATCCTCACGCCAGGTTTTCATTCAACCACACTTGTGATTTTTCCGTTGACTACCTGGCCTGGCAAACATCGCAAGTCGATGAAGTCTATTTGATGACAGACGTACCACACGTCCCAGTCAGTATAATCTACCAAGGTTAAACACCTGCTCCAATGGTTGACCGAGGGCGCCTAAAACTGCGTCTACTCTCAGTATTGCCAGTTGGGTTACTCCACCAACCTCGTTCAATCTAACGTAGACAGTGGTGTCTTAACACTGTCAGTCTGTTCTTATCCTGTTCACGTAATTATTAGGTTTCCAGATCAGACGGCAACAGCGATTCTTTACGGAAAGCCGGATGCTGTAACAGCGTTATGAGTGTTTCAAACTGGCAAATGTCAATCAAGCCATCCGAATGCGTGCCAATATTTAATGTGAAACGTCAGCCAGGTGAAATATAGCTGCCCAAATAAAAAAATGCTTACTTCCTATACTACTTCCCCAGTTAGAGCAAACTAGTCCTGTAGCAACATTCTGCAATGTGAATAAGCCATCAAGATGAGACTACACCTTGACGTGGTGTGATGGCCTGTGCACCTCTGTGACCCAACGAGCTACACAGGATGGCTTTTACCGAGCCAAAGATCTAGTCATGCCTGGAAGGTCAATGAGTAGAGATCAGACGAAGTCCAGTCTCCTGGTCCTCCAGGTTGGGGGTTCGACTTGAGTCGGTGTCTCAGTCGATAAAACGTATTGGAGGAATAATTGATCGAAGCAAATGGGCCTCCAATCCGCCTTAACCACTGCCTTGCGGTTAGGTTTTTGCCAAAACTAAAGGCTTTGGACGAGAACCCTAATCGTTCTCCTGCTTAGTGGCTGGACACCCTAGCAGTACCCGTCCATAAAGCTCCAACGAACACACAAACAAAAAATAATTTCATACTGCATCGGTCGTCGCGCAGGATAATCAGGACCGCGCTGCCCATTGCATCGAGCGGGGTGGGTAGTGATAAGTGGGCTACTGCTTAGATATCCCAACCTTTGTTTAACTCTTTATCTTCCGTACCCAATCCTATCTCTTTACCCCTTCTTCCGACCCGTGATATTCCCTCAGACAACTTGGTCGTCACTCGCCAAAGGTCTTTGCCAAATAGCACTGTAAGTGATTTACCACGGAATGGAT